CACTGTGTACTTGGCTCAATGCCAGGTGCTCCCCCGGGATTAGCCGTCAACAGTCCTATGGAACAGTTTGTATTATTATCTCCGGTTTGAAAGGGGAAAGGTGGGGCTCAGGAGAAGAGACCTGTTCAAGTTCACCTGTTCCACAAATGCAGCTACTGAATTTACAATGTAACAAGGAAAGTGGTAGTGAGAGGCTGAATATAAAAATGACAATGAGGGGGGCGCCTGGGTGGCACAGTCAGTTAAGCGTCTGACTCTTAGTTTCAGCTCAGGTCGTGATCTCAGGGTCCTGAGATTGAGCCCCAAGTCAGGCTCCATGCTCAGCGCAGAGTCTGCTGGAGATTCTCCCTCTGCCCCGCCCACTCATGCTCGCTTGCTCTCTCTAAAATAAACAAGTAAATCTTAAAACAAACCGAAAAATGGATAAAGGTCAGACCGTATGTAAAAACTGAGCTCTGACCTGCTCTCTGCACAACCAGCCCCAGAAGCCAGCCTGCTGTATATAAGTCAGGCTTCTGGGAGTCGGACCACTGTCCCTAGGAAGCCATCCAAGAAGCCAAACACCAACCTCTGTAATGACTGGCCCAAAACAGCAGGGACTTAAATCGTAACTGACAGCTCCGTTCATTTTTATTCCTGCTTTCAACGCAGGACCAAACAGAGGAAGACGAATATGCTCCCTTGCTCAATCATAGAGCATGTTCAGCTTCTATTAGCCTGCCTCCAGCTTTCCCAGGTGGACAGTCCCCTATCAGGGCATATGTGAACCCTCTCTTCTTTCTACTATAAAGCTTTCCCACTCCTCTGCCTGCCTCTGAGTCTCTGCCAAACACAGGTGATGGTGGCTCACTCCCTTGCCTGAGTTAATAGCCTTTGCCTGTTCTCATTTGGTTGGTCTTCATTCACGTCCACACTGGGGGTACAGAGTTGTGAAAACACAGACCTCAACCTGCCCTCATGGGTCTCACGGTCCAGTGAGCAGAGAGACACACTGTTCAAGCAATCACAGCAAGTGGGCCCGTGCAGCTGTGATTTTGCTGTAAGGGAGAAGCATAGGGTTCAAACGCCATTGTTCATCCAGTGAAGTGGGGGTCTGACTAGTCTGGGAGTCAGGGAAGTCTTCCTGGAAAAAGTGACACCTGAGCAGAGATGCAAAGCCTATGTATGAGACACCGAAGTCAAGAGGAAGGAGAATATTCCAGGCAAAGGAAACAGTACAAGGAGACACGGCTGGAGAAAGGGTGGGTAAATCAAGGGGCTGAGGGACTTTCCGGGTGGGAGGATGGTGTGAGATGAGGCTGGAGGAGTCCAAAGGGGACAGATCACACAGGGCCTTTAAGACCATGGGAAGGACTTTTGTCTTTACTGTAAGAACAAGTGGAAGCCAGTGACGGACTTGTAGGACGGCAGTGGGAGAAGACTAGAGCCATATGCTTGCTGTTAGGGGTTGATGACAACGAGGACCGGCCCGTGGGTGAGGAGAGGGGTCGGGCCCTCATAGCTGGAGAGACGTCACAGGGCTACGCGGCAAGTGATCAGCGTGGGGGCTCAGGATAGAGGGAGTCTGCCGGATTAAGAGGCACACTGGGGATGTGGATTGAACCAGGTGAGTGACTGGGGACAGCATCAGATATCTGAAACAGAAGTGTCGTCTGAGCATCCAGGGCCACTCACTGGCAGTAGCAAAATCCAAATACCCAGCCCGGCCAGGATCGCCAAGTTCTTGGCTTCACCCTGCTAGTCTTCCTCCCTGCAGACATTGCTAGCTGATCCCAGCGTCCACTCCTTCCTCTCCTGGAAATCCCGACCAATCGAGTGGACTGGATACAGAAGATGAAATCCTCTTGCAATCCCAGGACAGGGGTGGGATTCAATGGGGGATTCCAAGACTCCTCCAGAGGTCTGCAGATCTGCACTTGGCCCCCTGATCCCCAAAAGAAGCCCGGGAAGCTGACAGAACCACTGCCTGCATTATTCCTATTTGCTACAAGGGGAAACTGAGGCCCGGAGTCTTGAGGCTAATGAAGGACCAAACGGGTTCCACTTAAGGTCTTCTACTTTGAAATCTTCTTTCTACTCTTTCCTGGGAGCAGTTGTGAATTGGTGGCCAAAATAATGTAGACCACTGAATCAACATCTTGTGTGTGTGTGTGTGTGGTAAATACACATAACATAAAACTTAACATTTTAACCATCTTTAAGAGTACAGCTCTGTGGCTTTAAGTGCATTCACACTGTTGTGCAACCATCACCATCATCCAGAACATTTCTCACCTTCCCAAACCGAAACTCTGCCCCTGTTGAACACTAACGGAAAGAAAGGACTCAACGGAGTTTCTATGGCAACTTAATGTCAGCAACCTACATTCTTGCGCCTGGCTTTCAGAAACTGCTTTTTAAGGGCTGGGCAAGTTGGTGAGGGTTGGTAATCCTGTTTTCAGGCTCTTGTTGCTGTTTTTATTTATCCACCCATCAAATAATTACTGAGCACCTAACTAGGTTGGGGGCTATGCCAGGCATTGGGGCATATCATGTGGGCAAGACAGGAATGGTGCCGGTCTGACGTTTGGTAACCAAGCAATGCTGTAGGTGTTCCTGAGAGAAACTTCTCATTGAGGACACCAGCAAAAGTACACCGCTGGGGTGGGGTGGAGGGAGGTAGGGGAATATATTTGGGGACAAACTAAAGATGACCATCCCAATGATATTACCCAGGGAAGAGTCTAAAGCTCCTGAATTGTCTACTTCGAAGCCACTGACTATTTCTGATTGCAACATGGGATTGGTTTTTGACTTTTAAAAGAACTTGAATGCAGCCTTGAAACATAAGGAAATCCTGTCACACACCACCACATGGATGATCCTTGAGGATATTATGCTAAGTGAAATAAGTCAGTCACAAAAAGACAAATACTGCAAGATTCCACTTATAAGAGGTGTCTAAAGTTGTCTAACCACCAGAGACAGAAAGGAGAATAGTGGCTGCCAGGGGGTTGGGAGGGGGGTGGGGGGTTCTTGTTCAATGGGCATAGAGTTCAGTTTTGCAAGATGAAAAAGTTCTGGAGATTTCTTGCACAACCATGTGCATATAGCTAACACTGTGTATACTTCAAAATGGTTAAAATGGTAAATTTTGTTACATGGTTTTATTTTTTGTTTTTTCTTAAGATTTTATTTATATTTTTTTGTCAGAGTGAGAGAGAGCACAAGGAGAGGGAGAAGCAGGCTTCCCGCTGAGCAGGGAGCCCGATGTGGGGCTCGATCCCAGGACCCTGGGATCATGACCTGAGCTGAAGGCAGATGCTTAAGGACTGATCCACCCAGGCGCCCCTATGTTACTTGGTTTTTTAACCACAATTAAAAAAAAAAAAAGTCTAGCACAGCGCTGGCTACATAAGGACTCAACAAATATTTGCTGAAAAAAAAAAAAAAACAAAAAGGAAAAAACCTTGAGGTCTCAAATCCTGGCCTCACGTTTTTCCTGCACATTTTAGATATGGGCTTTGGGAATGGTTGATTGCTTGCCTCCTTTTTGCCTTTTTAGTGCGTGCGATTTAAGATATCACTGGGAAAATCCAAGTCAAGACTTTTTTGGAAAGTTATCCAACCAGCACCACCCCTTTGATGGACGAGTCTATGTGTCCATCTGACACTGACTTTGAGTCTGTCGACTCTGGACCAAGCTCGGCCTTGCACTCCCACAGCTTCAGGGGGTGACAGCAAGCCTGCTTCAAACAGCCACTAACACCTGGGGGGGCCCTTTTCAGTTTACAGAATGCCCCCATTTGTGTCCACCCCATTTTGGCCACCGTCTCCTCTTAACCAGCTTTCTGGTCTTCTCCACACCACTTGTGGGCTTCGTTCACAGAGCAGAACCCTTAGTTAAGGTTTGTTGAGGTTTGTTTTAAAAAATGGGCTGTTCCCACCCACATTCCCTTGTGATATAAATAGAAAAAAAAAAGAGGTTTAATTAGAAGGCAAGACATTCGAGCTATGTCTACTTGATCCTTGAAAAGGAAATCTAAGAGGTTCTTCCTATCACTTTTTCAATCCTATATAAGGTAAGTCAGTAAGGTAGCAAAAGCACATCTGTTTTGTGCTCCTTCAACTCTTTTTCCTGATTCTTCCTGGGGGAAAATCTAAAACGGTAAGTAGCTGGTGGACCTACAAGACCCCAGCCTCTTGTTTCCTACATGCATTCATATTAGGTGGTGCCTGCTGTGTTCAGATTTCTTTTTCCCCATGGACTTGACACCTGAAAGGAGTCTGTTTGATCTCTGGTAGAGGGCCTTTCCATGTCTCTGATCCCCATCCTTCTGGATAGGGAGCATCTTTTCCATAGAAGGTCTCCAAGTAGCCCAAGCTGTATCCTTTCCCACGTGGAACTGACAACACTGCATTTCCAATGTATGAAAATACCATTGCATTTGTAACATGGTTTACTTCTGGATGTCTTGTAGAGGCCTATGTAAGTGATCGATTGTGCAAATATCATTTTTATAAGAAAATGGAATCAAGGGCGCCTGGGTGGCTCAGTTGGTTAAGCGACTGCCTTCGGCTCAGGTCATGATCCTGGAGTCCCGGGATCGAGTCCCGCATCAGGCTCCCTGCTCGGCGGGGAATCTGTTTCTCCCTCTGACCCTCTCCCCATCTCATGTGCTTTCTCTCTCTCTCATTCTCTCTCTCAAATAAATAAATAAAATCTTTAAAAAAAAGTTAGCATGTAAGAAAATGGAATCAAGTCATTCTTTAGGCTGTAGTTTTAAATTTTGTCTTTGAAGAATATTCAGGAGAAGGCACTGAGACAAAGGGGGCTGGAATCTTTTCAATTTATGGTTTGTATGTGGTTCTGTCCCATCACTTAATATCAGGCTTATCACATTTAAAAATTCCCCACAAATACAGTTTCAGTGGGCCTAGGAGGGCGCTGTGCCCCTAGATGTGCATCTTCTTGCTTGCCATTGACCACATCTCGTTTATTCTGTGTGACTAGGTGGAAAATGAGCATCACAGATGTCCTTAGCGCCGATGACATTGCAGCAGCCCTGCAGGAGTGCCAAGGTAAAGGGCAGTGGGGCAGGGGTGGGTATTTCCCAGCTATTCACGCCTCCAGCAAAGCCACAAAGATTAAAATGTGAACTTTGCTGAAAATTCGTGGGATCGGAGAGTAAAACTGTTATCAACGAAATAACTACAATTGTAGAGCATAGGATTCCATTGCTGTTAAGGGGAAAGAAACTTACTAAACGTAAAAAAAAGAAACGTGTGGATACCATGTAGCCTGTTTGAATGCAATGAGTGCATTTCCCCCAGTGGATTAGACCAGCACTCCTGGAGTCTCGGACACACAGCCTGTAAAAACTGTAGAGGGAGGCATAGAGGAGAAAGAGAGGGATATAGACAAAAGTGGACAGGGAAGGTGGGGAGGGAGACAAGAGAGGCTATCACAAAGCCACCCAGTCTTGGCTGCCTCGAAAGCTTGCACTAGTCACAGCCCTCTTTTTCTTTTTCTTTTCTTTTCTTTTTAAGAGAGAAAGGGAAGGAGGGACAGGGAGAGAGAGAATCTTAAGCAGCTTCCACGCCCAGCACAGAGACCAATGCAGGAATCGATCTCATGACCCCTGAGATCACGACCTGAGCTGAAATCAAGGGTCAAATGCTTAACCGACTGAGCCACCCAGGTGCCCCATCTTTTTTAAAAACTGAGAACAGAGCATCCCTGTAGCTCGATATCACGAGGAGGGGTTTTGATAACCTATGCTTACAGCACCTTGGCCCAAATACAGAATGTGACCCAATGAGCCTCAGAATAATCCTCTCTCTGTCCCTCAGACCCAGATACTTTCGAACCCCAAAAATTCTTCCAGACATCAGGCCTCTCCAAGATGTCGGCCAGCCAGGTGAAGGATGTCTTCCGGTTTATAGACAATGACCAGAGTGGATATCTGGATGAAGAAGAGCTTAAGTGAGTTTTGTCCTGAGCTTGTGTGGCACCCTTGACATTGCTAGGTGGGTTGGAAGCAGCGGAAGCCAGTTTGGTCAGTATTTCTTCAATGGCCAGGATTGACACTCGTTGTTCTGCAGAGCCTCATGAAAGGGAAGACCATGAATCAGCGGGCCACGCATCTATCCTCGTGAAGCTCTAGACACAGGCACTGAAGACTGTAGGTGCAAAAGTGCATTCATTGTAGGTTTTTTTCTTTGGCAAATGGATTTCTCAACAAAATCTGAAAAAAATTTTTTAATTTTTTAATTTTTTTTTATTTTATTCATTTGAGAGAGAGAGAGCACGAGCAGGGGGAGGCTCAGAGGGAGAGGGAGAAGCAGACTCCCCACTGAGCCAGGAGCCCGACACGGGACTTGATCCCAGGACTCCAGGATCATGACCTGAGCTGAAGGCAGACGCTTAACCGACTAAGCCACCCAGGCATCCCCCTGGAAAAAAAAAACAAAAAAAAAACACCTTTTAAAAACAAAATGCCCACCCGTAGTTGCTACAAAAAAAAAAAATAAAAAAAAAAAAGACCTTTGACAGAATATCGCAATGGCAGGGAACAGGTGGTTTGCTTCAAGAGAAAAAGGGTAAGCACAGAGACACGTGGTCTTTCAGAAAATTCCCATCAATCTTGATTGTCCTGCAGGTTTTTCCTCCAGAAGTTCGAGAGCAGTGCTAGAGAGCTGACAGAGTCAGAAACCAAGTCCTTGATGGCGGCTGCAGACAATGATGGTGATGGGAAAATTGGAGCTGATGGTATGTTCACACCTGTACCCAGCACAAAAGAATTTAGCTCTGGAAGCAAGCCGGGGGACTTGGGCCATGAGAGCAGGCAGACGTGGTTAGTGAAAATCCCCCTTTCTTAACCTTGCTGAGCTTCAGCCTTCTCATCTGTAAAATGGACCCAGTGTGAGGATATCAACGATATACCACAGAAGCTGGTCCTGTGAGTCACTGTCTATGACCCAGAAAATACCCTTCACCTGACCGGGGGACTGGCTATGGCCTGGCTAATGATTTGCAAGACACCCTAATGCATCATGGCAATAATGTAAGGAATTTCTACCACTGGGATTTAAGCCCTTCTGAATAAGGGAAGGATTGACATTCTCAAGTTGTGTCTCCTATCAAAATGTCTACTGACTTGAGGAGGAAAGCCTCTTAGCTTTCAAGGGTTTAAACAAACACGTTTTATTGGACATTAGCCCACCGAGTGGACAATATTAGAGATCAAACACCACGTATGGAGTCTTTTGGGTGCAGAGCCCTATATTCAAATTTAATATAGCTGCATAGCTGTAGGATTATTTTCATCCCATTCAGTTATGCGGCTTACATGTTTTTAGCTACACTGTGCATGCCAACTCAAAAGAATTTATGCATGGTCTTTATGGTGGTACTAACGAAATTTAGAACGCCTGTTTAGATTCTCCTTTTAAAAACCTACCCAAAATTGTACCACTATAACTTGCTACACAGGAGTTAATGTAGCTTCTGTAGATAGCTCAGAAAAATAGTTGAGGTAAGAGAAGACTGATTTATTTAAATCTAACCACAAAAAAAATTCCAGATAGGCAAAGTGTACCAATAAATATAAAGCAAAACCCCAGTTTTCCATTTCAATCAGTCACATCCACTCATTTTTATCATTACCGTTATCACCATCATCTTTTAGTAATACAAACTCTTGGGGGTAAGGTTAGAGTTCATCAGAGAAAAGTGAGTTCCAAGGCCCACCCTATGAATTATTTCCTACATCTGCACAATGTAGCTTCCGAAAAGAGGAAGAAAACCCCTCATCTCTCTTAAAGTAGCCAGACAGAGAGCTGAGTAATCCCAGATTGCAATAGGCTGTTATACCAAATCCATGCACTGTCAGAGACAAATTGCTGGGCTCACAAGTTCTAATACAAGGGGCTCTATTGCAAAGCGGAAGATGTTTGTTAGATTATGCAGGAAGATGGGACACTATAGACCACCTCCATCTGCGGTAACACATTTTTTTGTCTCCTTTTGTGTCCTTAGAGGGGGCCAAGCCCATCACCTGACAATCTGCTTCTTTTTTTCTTCAGAACCCCCCCCTGGCCACCACACGTCTGTAAAAATACCCAGCCATCCCCACTGATGCTTTCTCGCCTCTTCTGTTCTAGAATTCCAGGAAATGGTGCATTCTTAAAAGCCCCAGGCTGTGGAGATAGAGACAATCAGCCGGAAGGCCTCCAAAGCCCAGGGAATGGGAAACCCCCTTCTCCCCCTAATTTATTTATTCATTCCCACACACACCCCCCCCCCAAAGTGCTTCTGCAATTTGCTCCCTGTTTTTGCGAGGTAATAAGACAGTCATTCATGAATTTTCAGTGGTCAGTATGCCCTGATGACTCCTGTAAGGCCCTCGGCAGACAATGCCTTTAAAATTCATCCAATAAAGATACATTTCTCATCATCTGCTGATGTGTGGGTGTGTTGTTGTTGTTGTTCTCAGCAAGGTACAGGGATGAAAGCAATTTGGGGACTGAAGGCTTTTAGAAAGACTTCTGGTCCTATTAAGCACTAGGCCAGCCACAGTGGGGTGTGCCAGCAAACAGAGAAAACAGGTTTGGGAAAGAAAAAACAAGTCACAAACAAATGGCACCATGAGACTAGGATTTTCTCAGGGAATTTTCAGAGTCTGAAAGTAATATGAAGAGATTTATAAAGAGCATAAAATCACCTTTGCTTATGCGTTGGATGACCATAAGAGAGATTTACAAGCCAACAGTACAGAACAGAAAAAAGTGGGAGTCTGCAGTGGTCCCAGAGCTAAGGAGACTTGCTCTGCCAGATGGGCACAAACACCCATTTTCAAGGTTGCTTTAAAATTTTTTTTTTCTCTTAGAAAAACAAGCTATCTGAGACTTGCCTGCTCTGACCCAACCTCCTGCCACCTCCCCCTTCTCTCTCTGTCTTCACTTTCCTGGCTCTCACTTGAAATACCAACCTGAGCCAATTACGTGGAGAATTGCCTTCACTTGGGAGGTGAGCCTCGGGGTCCTATTACAGAGTTTTCACAAGGGTGGGGCAATCTCAAGCCAGGAAACTCTCGCAAGGCTCATGTCCAGGTGGCAGGTTCAAGGTGTTTTCTCTGGCTGACCCCCAAGAGTTGAGGACTCCGGGGAGGAACTGAGGCATTTTCCTGGGAGCCTGCTGAAAGGCTCACACTTTTCACTCCACACCCAGGCTGCTAAGGCCCTGGGCTCTCCTGGCTTGCTTCCTTCACACTTAAGTAGCTCAGTGACTTTCGAACCCCTGTTTTCTGAAGGGGCCGTGTTAGGGCAGCTCTTCAAAGCGTGGGGTGTATATGACAAGGGGGCCTCCAGAGATCAACATTTTTATTTTAGTAACCATGTATTTATTTTAATATGCATTCGGAAGAAATTCAACTAGCACAAACACGTGATTGCAATATCGTCGCGTTAGAATGAGGCCAAGGGGAACATCAGACATTTCAAAGTGCATCCATTTGAAGAACAATTGTCAAGTAATATTCGAGATGGTATTTGAAGGGACAAATTCCATAAAGGGCACTCCCATTCCCCTCCTCGTGCCTCAGTCTTCCTGGCAGGAATCAGACGCGGTCCTCCCCACCTCAGCTTCCCTCCCTTAGTGTGTGCAAATGTCTCCCAGGTGCTTCTGTGAATCGCTCAAAATAAAGAGCAAGAGCGCCTTTCTGACCAATACTGGCAAGCTTAGGGCCTTGATTCTTCAGACAATCCACGTGTCGCCGTCACCTCCACGCCACACACGGATACTCTGATCCTTCTGTTATTTCACATCTCCCCATTAGCTTTACCCAACCAATGGTTCTTTATCCCTGCTACAGCTCTACATACCTCAAAGCGAGCCTGCCCCACTCTTTCCGGGGGGATCTGGCCACCATGCACCTCGGAGAAGCCAGGTGGATGACAATGTTTTAAAATAAGGGTCATGAGCTTTTAATTGACTAAGCAATCATCCATCATCCATTGGAGCTGCAGAGGCAACATCGTCCTAATCTAGGTGAAGATCATCAGTTTCTCTTATTTCTTTTCTGTCACTTAGGGATCTATCTAGGGATAATGACTGGAGGGGTTATATGGAGCACCCAGGGGACACTGTGTCATCGGGTCATACTGATGTCCTGTCTTGGGGAAGATGCTTGGAAGAAGGTGGATGTCTACAAAAGGATAGATTGCCACAAATTTTCCACAGATAGGATTATGGTCAGTTATTCATGAATTTTATTCATTCTACTGTTTCAAAATGACAAGTCCAATCATATTTGCCCAGGTCAGGTACATTGCTTTTATATTGTTCCAACCCAGTTTTAGGAACTTAATTTCAATTGAGTCGCTCTCCAAAGACAATAAGTAGCAATCAAAAGGAGCCATCTCTCTGTATTTACCACCCAAGAATTGTCAGGTGGTATGCTTACATGAAACAACCTTGTCTTTACTCATAGTAAATGTAAATTACGTTGTTTGGATGTTTGAGTGTGCTGGTGAGGGGGTGGGCAACACATAACTCCACCCCTGAATGCAGTAACAACAACTCTGGGCATTTGAATATAGTTGTTAATTAGCACCTTTTATTTTTCTGGTTATTTTTCTAAGTTTACATTTTGCAGAGACATTAGCATTTCCAAATCTTTGGTAAGTATAATTTGAAAACAAAAAAAATGTTTTCAAAAATTACCCGAGTTTAGTCATTACACAAACTTTGTACAAAGTAAAAAAAAAATAAGTGCGTCTTATTCAGTATGTACCTAACCAAAGAGAGAAAGGGTTCATAACAAAATGTTAAACACCGGTTATCTCCAGCTGGAAGGATTACAGAACAGTGCGATAAGACTGAGGCCTTTGAAGAAACGGAGCGTAGTAACTAGGGAAATGAAAAACATGTAGAATTTACCCAGTTTTTGTCACTAAGCCAAAATAACAATTTTGATTTTAAAAAAAACTTTCATGCCAAAGATGTAACCCACACTCAAATGAATGAAAGCCCTGCCTACTAAAAAAAACCTGAAATTTCTACTCATTTCTTTGGACTCATTTATATTTTTACATACTGAGGAAAAAAAAATTTTTTTTTAAGATTTTACTAATTTATTTGAGAGAGAGAGAATGAGAGACAGAAAAAAAAATTTTTTTTTGGGTCCGAGGGAGAAGCAGACCACCCCGCAGAGCAGGGAGCCCGATGAGGGACTCGATCCCGGGACTCCAGGATCATGACCTGAGCCCAAGGCAGTCGCTTAACCAACTGAGCCACCCAGGCGCCCCTGAGGAAAAATTTTAAATATAACATATCCAGAGTCAAATCAAAACTGGAAACAAAATCCTGAAATTGTAACAATCTGGAAAAGGGATTGACAAGCACGCAAACAACTTTACTTTTGTGCTTGCTTTCTCGATTTTTAGCTAATTTGCCAATGACCACCATCCTACCTCAAGAAGGGGATGTTCTCAGCAGTGGAATGATGTGTTTTGGCTTTGACAAGAGGGCCTAGAGTGCATGATAGGTTACAGAAGTCTGTTTTTCCTACTTGCTTATAAAATAGGGCTGCGACAGTGGTTTTAATTTGAACGCTTTTTACTTAATTGTAATTTTGACTTACAGTTCGGTAGTTTATAATTTAATGGAATGTGATTTGAAAGCCAGTTTCCTGAATGTGCTTCATAGCTGAAGCTAATAATAATTACTAAAGTACTTCAAACATTATTGGGTATTTTTTAAAAAGATTTTATTTATTTATTTGACAGAGAGAGAGAGAGCATAAGCAGGGGGAGCACAAGCAGAGGGAGAAGCAAGCTCCCCGCTGAGCAGGGAGCCCGATGCGGGGCTCGATCCCCAGACCCTGGGATCATGACCTGAGCCGAAGGCAGACGCTTAACCGACTGAACCACCCAGGCGCCCCTAATTATTGGGTATTTTGCCTCAGCATTTGCACATTACCAAATATTGACATTAATTTTTAAATACATGGTTTTCACCTGTTATTCCCAGCGCAAAAACAAAGCATAGGAAAAACAACAGAGATGGGAAGTTCTGTCTGTTCACGTTGACAAACTGCATAGTTAGTTCTGTGGGACGATGCAGTTTAATTTTGTGTAATGAGTACTCAGGAATCCAATTTCAAGCAAAAACCTATCTTATATCGCTCCTGCTAACGTGAAGGTATGGTATTACTTTGCAAACACCTAAGACGACAGGTGAAATTGGAATCACGAGGCTCGTTTCCACCTGGCCTGTTAACTTATTCACTGGGAAGACTACTCATTTACATGAGGTTCTAACTGGTTTCAAAACATCAGCGCTTTCGGGTAAGGAGTAGATTTTTGACGTTGTTTTCCTAGGAGTTCTACAATGAAGGGAAACGGATTCACATCCTTGAATTATTTTTGAGTGATAAAATATATTTCAACAACATAAAACACCTGCGTCCCTACCCCCTCACTTTATCAACTCTCGACACCGCTGGTGTGGTGGCTTTGTAATAGGTCAACTTGCTTGCGCTGTAGGTCCCCAGTCTTAGGTGGGCCTGAGATTTGGGGGTGGGGAGGCGGGAGTGAAGCAATAGGCACTGTATGTATGCTCCGGAACTCAGCATGGTGCGGTCACCTATCTGCTGGGTCCCCTCCTTGGTGTGGGGTCCTCCTTTAGCCCCCAGCTCCAGGTGTGTCTCTCCTGCTCTGACAAAGTACACCAGCTTTTCCTGGAGGAGCCCCCCCTCATCATCAGGGCTGGAGGCAGGGAGAGACTCAGGTACGTTCCAGTCTGTCCTCCCCCCCCCCCGTTCTTCCTGTCCCGCTTCCCTTCCCGACAGCAGACCTAAACTTCAGCAGAGATGAAGGCTGTAGCCTTACAGAGACTGTTCAGGTCTCTCACTAGCACCTAATACCCAGAAGAGACAGATATATCCAGGTATCTCCTGCTTTTCAAAAGTTCAAGTTACGTCACTTCACTTGTACACAAAACCTACGTTAGTACCTGTTCACTAAACGAAAGGAATCAAAGTCGATTTCACTTTTACGAAAAAGGGGGGAAAACAGAAAAGAGCATTCAGCGTTGGTTTTGCGGCCAGAGCGGTAACAGTAAGAAGCAGGACAGACCTTATTTATCTTATAGCTGAAAGTTTATATCCTTTTACCAGCCTCTCTGTTT